TTGACCTGGCCCCACATGTCAGCGACACAGAGGCTTAGGACCCACATGTCAGTACATGACATCATGCTGACGTCATGATAACGTCACGCGGGTCCCACCTGTCAGTAGCAACACAGCCAAGGTGACGTCATGCTGACGTCACGGTGATGTCAGCTACTGACGTCAGCAGCCCTGGCCCCACATGTCAGTGACCCTGACCCGTTGACCGTTGACTCGCCATTGACTTGATGTTGACTTTGGCCGGACCCACATGTCGGTGACCCAAGAGGCTCTGGCCCCACCTGTCGGAATGGATGACGTCATGATGACGTCAGCTGGACCCCACCTGGCAGCTCGGAACCGAGATGCTGACGTCAGCATGCCACGTGGACCAGTCACAGCGTGACACGTGTCAGCCCAGGATTAATTCAGCCTTTTTCCATTTTCATAAATGATTTAAACTTCAGAAATTCATAACTAATTCATATGACCTCAGAAAAATACAAAATCAGGACCAAAATTCATCTAAAATCAAGCTCTACGCAATGAAGCCATGTTTGAGTGCATTTGGATCTTTTGAATTTTTATTGCTTCATTGTGCTATTCTATAGACGTCGCTAACGCGACTAATTTGCGATCGTTTGTAGACTCGGAGGAGAACCGGACGGACGAGGATCGTGAATACCGTGAGGAGTACGGAGACGACTACACTGAAGGTGCCACATCCCACCCAATCTCGTAGCACCTACTACGCATGGCTAAAATAGAAATGCTAGAGCTTTACTTTATTGTTATGATCAGACTATGATAGGACTTGCATGGTAGTATGCTTTCTTGATGGCCTTTACCTTGACGCAACCTTACCCCTGCTCACCCTGCTGTTAGGCTAGACACACGTTGCTGCTATATTCCATTGCTTAATACTTCTACTACGCTTATACTATATTGATGCGTGGTGGAAAACTAGTGTTATCTGGACTACGGGGAGAGTGCTGCGTGTGTGACTTGGGTGCGTGGAAGGTGAGGGTTGTGTCAACCAAGTTGGAGTATACGACGAGCCTAGAGCAAGTCTTACCGTGGGGTGCTACCTAGGCACCCCTGGAATAGATACCTGTGGTGGGTAAATGGTATATGAGGTGGCCCTGAGTGTGAACCTGTGATGGGAGGAGCCCAGGGTGGAGGTGCTGTGGTGGCATGGTAAATGGAAACCCTGATGAAGACATTCTGGCTTGGTCATCCCTAAGGACTCACTAGTACTCAGATTCACCGGGAAGCCTTACATACCACTCGCCCTATATGGTGCGGGACGGCCGGACTACTTGGTAGGATATTGCCACTACTGCTATGTTGATAGCGGACAGTGTAAGGAGGTACGGAGCGCGGAGGATTTCCCCCACACCCTTCCGAGACTTCATGGAGACCTTGTGGACCGGGCTCCTGACTCACAGTTTCAGCCACCCCAGACTAGACTTGGGGTGTACCAGGGCTGAATGGTAGAGTAGCATTATCCTAGGCTAGCAAGCGACCGGAATCAGCCCAGTTGACGACGGTCAGCGAGGAAGACGGATCTTGTGGTTATGTAAAACCTCTGCAGAGTGTATGGTTGATCGATCGATACATATGCTGACTTGTCGGCTATGGACCTTTCCTGGGTTTCGCTTAAACTAGATAGTGAGATGAGTCCTTATCTTCTTTCCCTGGGAGTGAGTGTTCGGACGTAGCCAGGGGCTACAGGCCTTGAGACAGTGCCAAGAGGGAGTTGGCCTGTCGACTGAGCGATGATATGGTTGTGTGGTGATGGTGTGGAGATGGTGGTAAATGGATCCCAGGATCGAAACCTGGTTCTGGACGGAAATGGGATGGAATGGGTGTGAGAATTGTGTTAAAATTTGACCAACTATTATTATGTACTTGATATGCTAATACATAGGAAACTCCAGCCTTATAGGTTCCTTTTGATCATATCCAACTTGTATCCAATTTTCACAAAGCAATGCTCATAGGGTGGGAGTGGCCAGTACAAATCGTACTGATAAATTTTGGCACACAGGTTCTGCTGAGGAGTATAGCTCCGAGGAGTTTGACGGTTGAGGGGTCCGTTCCTACGCTCAAGTTTGACGATCTTATCTTCAAGCTGTTCTGAATGAATGCTACTTTTGATTCCGCCAATGCGGCGATGTAATAAATTATGTAATTCCGCACTATTTATACTTTGATATTATCGTTGTATGGATGTGATATTCGACTGAAATTTGGGTAATATGACCTACAACGGTCTTGTTACACTTCAACTCTGTGGATTTCTCTTCGCGGAAATCAGGTCGCTTCAGTTGATATCAGAGCCATACTTGACCATAGGACGAAACCCTCAGAAATGTACGATAGAATAACATAAACTAGAGAACTGGACAATGACGGTGACGAATTCTTTGATGTCACCTATAATCGAATTCTAGACGTCAATAGTCAAGAAAACCTCAGTTTTCATCTGCAGCACTGCCGAGAACAATCTGAAAAACTTTTTTGTAGAATTCTTCCATGAATTTTTCTGTACATGTTTCTCATACATGTACTGAACAAAACACATTATGGCTTCTCCTTGAACCATCTTCCAATGTGCCTAATTGATCAACGCCAATACTACTAGACCGCGCTGATGGCCGGGTCCCCGCAGCATGTCCCATTTCGATCTTTTTCTTCTTCATCTTGCTCTTCGTCAGTTACCTTTTGCACATCGGACAGGAGCAGCAGCCAGCAGGCAGGCTAAGGCTACTATATAAACAGCCAGCAGACAGGAGCGATTCGCTAGAACCCAAACAAACGCCAAACCAAATCCTCCCGCCCTCTCCCTCCCCGCAACGGCCCAACCGCCATGGCGTCTTCCTCCTCCTCCAACCCCTCGTCAACTTCGTCCTCCTCCACCACTTCAACTCCCTCCGCCGCTCGGGTCCTCTCCGATTCCGAGAGGGTGAGGCCTCGGCTCCCCAACCCTGCCGCCGCTCCAGCAGCGAGCGCCGCCCTCGGCGTCGTACCTTTCGCCAACGCCTTCGCCACCGCGCCCGGCGTCGCAACTGGCGCCATCGCCTCCGCCACCGTTCCCGGCGTCGCACCTAGCTCCATCGCCTCCGCGTCCGCGCCCAATGTCGCACCGGACGCCATCGCCTCCGCCTCCGCGCCCGGCGTCTCCCGCTCCATCAAACGACCCCCGACATACACCCCCACCGCCTGGGGCGGCTCCAAAGGCGTCCCCCCGCCCACCTACTTCGCTCACGCGCACCAGAGGGGAAGGGGAGGTCGGGCTCGGAACTCCGCTGGTGTCTCCCAGCCCTGGAACTCCGTGGGCGTATCCCAGCACGTCTCTCGCAAGCCGTCGCAGGAGCGGGGGTGGCAGACCGCAGCGGACCCGACGTCCACGTTCGCTCCGTCGAGGTTGTCCAGCGAGGGCTCGTCGCCGTCTACGTCGGCATGGTCCAAGCCCCTTCCCTACGTCGGCATCACGCTGGTGCCCAACGCGTCAGGCTCCGCGCCCGCCGTGGCGACGAGCGCCGACACCGGGCCGGAGCCGGACGCGTCCACCTCTTCCGCGCCCGGCGTGACGACGATCGCCGACCTCGCGCTAGAGGAGGACGCTCTCACCTCCGCCTCCTCTTCTGCGCCCGGGGTGACAACGATCGTCGACGCCGCGCTGGAGCCGGACGCGTCCGCCTCCACCCCCTCTTTCGTGCCCGGCGTGACGACGATCGCCGACCCTTCCGCCACGACTTCTGCACCCGGCGCAGCACCGACCGCCTCCGCCACGACTTCTGCACCCGGCGCAGCACCGACCATCCCCAGCCTTCGAGACAACTGGGTTGCTGTACATTGGGGCATAGTGCCACGGTCCGTGGAGCATTGTCCCGGGCAGCAAGCGTTCGGCGGCAAGTCCGGCAACGGCATGCCTCCCGTCGAAGCCCTCTATCCGGACCCGTTGTGCGCGTGGCGAGAGCAGGTCCCGCCGCGGTCGTTCGGCTTCCCGCTGTGTTGGGAGTGCCGCCTCCGACCCGCACGGGTCGAGGCTAGACCTTGCGGCCATTTGGCCATCTGCGTCCTGTGCTACTGCTACGCCAACAGCAACAGGTTCGTCTGCCCCTGCTGTGGCTTGCCTATTACCTGGCTACTGTAGCGTTCAGATACGTATCGATTCTTGCTGGTAGCATATTGCTAATTGTAAATGCTGTTGCTCTGTGAAACCTATCGATTAGTATATAGGTCTAGTTCTGGGTAACATTTGGATAATCTTGGTTCAAAGTTCTTGGCAACATTTGGATAATATTGGTTCAAAGTTCTTGGTAACATTTGGATAATCTTGGTTCAAAGCCACGTGGGCTGGGAGGTTGATCTTTGAAACATCCATAACATTTGGATAATCTTGGTTCAAAGTCACATTGGGTATAACATTTTCAAAGCTTCTTTTCATCGATTGCGTCTCTGGTTCAAAGCTTCTTTTCATAAATACATCTCTTGTTCGAGCGCTGTGCTGTGAGTCTGGTTCAAAGCTTGTTTTCATCAATGCATCTCTTGTTCGAGAGCTGTGCTGTGAGTCTGATAACTCAGCCCGGACAGCCCGGCAGGTGGCAGCTTGTTTCACAATTCAGATGCCGTCCATACGTGTTTCACAATTCAGATGTGGTCCATGAGCGAGCTTGTGCAGATGAGACAGGGATTTTGGCATTGACGGGTCATTTGAGCGAGCTTGTGCGGGGATTTTGACATTGGCAGCACAAAAGAACTCGTGCACAAGTAGCATGAACGTGGAACGCGTGATACAGTTTCAGAAGAGACGTGGAACTTGGCAACAGGCATTACATCCATTGAGGTAGTATATGCCAATCAAATAGAACGTCAAAAACAACATAACAGTTAATAATGGTTCACAGCCGTACGCTCATTACATAGTAGTCGGTATACAGTGTTTTAACTTGGCAGCTCAGGCTACATGGAAAAAAAATCCAACTGATAGAACAGAAGCCCACATTTGGCCCTCACTTCAGAGGAATGAACCGCGAAGAGTGGGTAGCACCGATACCGGGCCTACCGTGCTTGACTGGCTTGTACGAGATGGAGAACTCTGCAAGGTAGTGGCCAATCATCTCCGGCTTGATCTCAACCTGATTGAAGGTCTTGCCGTTGTAGACGCCAACGATGCTCCCAATCATCTCAGGCACAATGATCATGTTGCGGAGGTGGGTCTTCACAGGCTCAGGCTTCTCACCGGCGGGAGCATCCTTTTTCTGCAAGCATGAAAGTCAATGCACCAGTGTCACAGTAGAAACATTGATAAAAGTGAAAAAGATGACCACACATACATCTTAAACGACAAACAGGAAACTCATTCTGGGTACACCTGACAGAAGCGAAGACGCAACTGACAATAACACGAACACATTTCAATAACAAAATCATTGTTTATGCAACAAATAACTTATTTCCCAGATATTAACTGGCCAGCATGTTATCCTACATACTGTATCAAGCACTCAAGGTACTACAAAGCTTCTACAAAAATGTTTTGAACTAAAACACAGGCAGCAATGACATGGATAGAACGGTACCAAACACTACAAGCAAAGAAAGATGTGGTATATAAATAAGCAACTGGTAGAACAAATGGAGTTTGCACACACCAAAATGGTTGAAATTATTCCAGCAAAGTTGTCTGAGAAGCCAAACTGGACTACCGAGTACATGTAGGAAAACAGATTCCTAAGAATACCTAAAAAAAAGCAGCGATATCTTGCATACGACAACTCAATAACTCAATACAAACTGGATTCGGTAACTGAGTTTCCGCTAGCTTCAGACAGATGTAGCAAAAGAATAAATAAGTTTCAAGCAAATCTTTATATACCTCAACTGCTCCAACAAAACTAAAAGTCAGGTCATCAACAGTTCTAAGTGATTAGCATCATAACAGAAGGGCATATCAATTGTTCCAGTGACAATGCGGGATAATACGGACAATGTAAGAGCAGAAATTTAACAGGCATGCTTCTGGACAATGGCCTACATAGCCTTATTAAAAATTGTGCTTTTCAGTAGGACACACGAATCAATCTTCTAGTACATTGTAAAAGAACCTCTGAAGTAACAGCTTTAGTGGATCAAAGGAGCACACTGTTTAATCAGTTTGGTTGAGTATCACAAATTCCCAAGAAAGCTGAAACGGATAGACAGCAGGCAATAACAGAGTGAAATGCTAAAATGCATCATTCAATGGAAAATAAGCAACAAAAAATTGGAGAATTAATCATCCAATGCCTATCTATACAATTTAGCTATCCATCTAAAACATCAATCAGGCATACAACTATGCTTCTAGCTTACTTGAAGCACCAAAAAAATGCTGGATACATTAATATTTATATTAAAGCAGACATCCACAGGTCTACATTGCGGTTCTAATGATTAGAGACAAGTAACTGGCATATATAGCTCCAAAAACAGGGCTTAGATACAAGTAACTGGTGATTCTAACAATCTGCCCCGCAGCTCCAAAAGACATTTCACATCATGATAAAACATCGATGCATGTATTACCACTGCGGATTTCATTCAGGTAACTGGCATATAACGCTGCTACACTATAATACTAATATAGTAGGTCTTAGCAGATGTGATGTGCCCCGGGGTTAACAATCCAACCTATCTAAGGTTATGTACGAGAGTAAACAAAGAGAAAATTGAGCTCGTCACGAACACAAACAGATCTAGAGAAGCCTAGTAGCAACAAGCGATTCGCGATCCAACTCTAATGAAAGCAAAACAAATCCAGCACCCACCGCTTTGCGGAGCTTCTTGATGAGCGCCATGGGCTTCCTCTTCAGACCCCTCTGGAACCTGCGCAAATCCAACACATCAGATCGGAGACCAAACCCAAAAAAATGGCACCACCACGATAAGGTACAGTAGTTACCTCCGCCGTGCGCGCGCCGGGAAGAGCTGGACGAGGTCGTCGGTGGACATGTCGAGCAGCGCGTCGAGGTCCACGCCACGGTAGCTGTACTTGCGGAACGTCCTCTTCTTCGGCCCCGCGGCCGCCACCTCCGTATCCACGTCCACGTCCGCCTGCCACAACGCACACCATGGTCAAGGGGTGGAGATGAAGAATCACCTAGGATTTTCTTGGAAATCCGCTCACCATGGTTGGTCGAAGGGGAGAGCGGGAGCTCGAGACGACGTGTACTGGTAGCGGAGGCGCGCTGCTTGGAGGGGGAGAAAGCGGCGACGGGTAGGGTTTGGAGTGAGCGTTCGTGGGGGGCTTATATAGTAACCAAGAGTGCCACGTGGCGCACGCGTGGTTGTTTGAGTGGTAAGGTTGCTGGGCTAAATCTGGGCCTAAATGAGCCGGCCCGGCCCGTATAAGCATTACGGAATCCGGAGAAGCCCCTCTTTGTGACACGGTTGCACCATGGGCCGGTAGGGAGTTACTCAGTTACTACTACGTGTACTTGCGTATCCACAGTTGCACATTTTCACGTATGACATACTTGCTATGTTGACTTTTCTCTTACCGAAATACTCAGAGGCGGGCATCCGTCCGCTCGCGTCGCACACGGCTTCCATTCTGCCTCGTCCGTCTCTCTATCACTCACCTTAGTTTCGTCCTCTTTATTTATAGGCTCCATCTTCCCTTAAAAAAATCTATAGGCTCCATCTCCACGTCTCTCTCGTGTTCGCTGGCAGCAGTAGAGCTCCACGCCGCCACCGTTTCTTCCTTCCTCCACCCAAGCCAACCATGCCGTCTCCTCTCTCGGTTCACGTAATGCCTCCCCAACCCAGTGATGTCATGATGCGTCGTCGCCGTGGGCACAGGTGTCGGGCCACCTCAAGTCGTCTCCACCCGAACTAGGGGGCACCCATGAGCGTGGCTAGTGCTAGATGTGCTCGCACACCGCCGGCTCCCACTCTGACGTCCGGAATCGGCCGGCCTTGTTCTCTCTACCCTATGCTGCAAACGTATGTTTCAATTGTTGCAGATGTTTCAGAGGTATGTTGCAAGTGTTTTTTATAGATGTTGCAAAAGTAGATCGGGATTATTGCATATGTTATAATGGCTATACACGTATGTTGCAGGCGTCTGTTTCAAATGTTTGCAAGTGTTTTTACTTAGATGTTGCCTATGTTTCACATATATGTTTGCAAGTTTTTTATCAGGATGTTGCATATGTTTTGCAATGGTTTTTCAAGTGTTTTTAAGTGTTTTTCACAAGTGTTGCAGACGCATGTTTCAAGTATTTCATCTTTCTTTAGATGCATGTTGCAAAAGTTTCATCCGGTTGTTTTAAAAGTAGATCAGATGTTGTACATGTTGCAATGTGACTCACCTGCCACAGCCACCTGCTGCAGTTGTTGGGGCGTTGTACATGCGTGTGAGAAGCGGAGGGATGGAGCGTTGCGCGGCTACGGACGCAGGAATGGCTCACTGGCGTGCAGCAGCCGTGGGCGTCCGTCCGGACGTCTGGACGCTAGTACTGCCCTTTATCTTAATATGAAAGTTCCTTACACTGTCTGGCTAGCTTATCAATTGTTACTATAAGTTAGGAGTAATAAGAAAGGATATATATAAAAACTTAATTTTTGCTTCAACAGCTACACATCGAATTTATCAAAATCTATATAATGATGACCCATCAAATTTTCTTTTGACCACCGGCACAACCCCATAAAGTATGGTGAATGAAGAGATCATGTACAATGCGATCCTACTGAAAAATTCTAGATAAAAATATGAAAAAATAATAATTTGATCTTCAAAAGATTATAAGAGTAGTAATAAAAACCCTAATCAATATATATAATCTAGTTATTAAATAACTACATTCAAATTCAGAAAATGCAAAAGGTATAGTAGTTCGATGCTAAAACGAAGCTAGAGTAACTTGAGGAGGTGCATATATGGTGAATTTTTGTATCACATTAAGTGTTTTTGATTTTTCAGAACGTGCACTTCCCACACACACACGCCAAATACAGTATCTATACGTCTAAAGTGAGGAAGTTTTTTTTAGAAAGGCGGCAAAAGCGTTGCCATATTTTTATTAGACGAGGATAAAAAACAAACACAAAACAAAACGGGATTACAACTTATTTACATGGAGATCATGCTCTCAGCGACTTTGGCACACAAGCCGTGACATAGCACACTACTCAACTAGGTCTAGCAAAAACAAGAAAACAAGTACACTTCGCAAATAGCGCATCTTGCTAGTCATCTCCGACGATTGGTCTTGTTGCCATTTGATACTGTTGAATTTCATCCTTGTACAGTAACGCTACTTGAATCGGCTGTAGGGATTTTTGTTGCAATGTTCTTCTATTTTGCTCCTTCCAAAGGTTCCACCAAAAATAGATCAAGATGTCATCTATTCTTTTCCTTTGTCTTCTATCAAATTCAACTCTACATTTACGCCAGTAACCATGCAGAGATCCGGTCATTCCCACTGAGTCTAGTATGGATAGGTGGAGCCACTGTTTTAAGTAGGACCAGACGTGCTTTGAGAAGGGGCAGTCCTTGCATAGTTGAGTTGGTGTTTCTGGTTCTACTCCGCATAGTTTGCAGATAGAATCATTCGCCCAATTGCGTTTCATTAAGTTGTTGGCGGTGAGAATCTTCTTGTGAAGGAGTGTCCAAGCAAAGAATCGGCATTTTGGTTCCGCTCCTGCTTTCCAAATTGGCGTCAGTTTTAATCTAGTGAAAGAGCCTTCGAATTGGATTTTGTATGCACTCTTGGTTGTGTATTCTCCATCTGGTGTCCATCTCCAATGTATGTTGTCCTCGATGTTCTCTTGTAATCTAATTTCTTGCACTCGTTCCCAAAGTGCCACATATTCCTTTATTTCTTGTGGCGTTTGGATTGGAAGTATATGTGAAATCCACCGGTTATCTTGCATTGCCGTTTTGACCGTAATCTTTTTTCTCGTTGCCTTTTGGAATAACGTCGGTGCCAAACTCTTTGGCGAGCTCCCCTCGATCCATGATGATGTCCAAAAAAGGGCAGTCTTTCCATCTCCAATCGTCACCACCGTGGAAGTGGCAAAAAGATCACGGTCACGCCAATCGCACGACAAATCCAGTCTGTTCCATGCTCGTTCTTTGTGTTTCCACTGGAACCATAGCCACCGCAATCGCAGTGCACGACCAAACCGTTCAAGGTCCAAAATCTCGAGCCCCCCTTTTTCTTTCAGCCGATCAATCTTCTGCACTAGCCATTTGTATTCCGGGAAGGCGGTCATGTGGTAGATGGGCTGTGATGAGAGCACTGTCTTTACTAGGGTTTCCCTACCTGACGTGGATAGGAGTCTCCCTTTCCAACCAGGCAATCTTGCCCCTATCTTGTCTATCAAAGGTTGGACTTCAATCTTGCGTAGTTTTCGGGTGTGAAGTGGAAGTCCAAGATATTTCCCAGGGAACTTGCAAATTTTCCTAGGGAAATTCTGAAGTAAGTGAGGCACAGAGTTGATGTCCACTCTAATAGGGAAAATTTTTGTTTTTGAGATGTTAATTTTCAGCCCTAAACAGTCACCGAAAAATGTCAATATTTTGTATAACCGATTGAGCTCCTGGACCGATGGGTCCGCAAAAATGGCCACATCATCGGCATAGAGGGAGCAACGAAGGTTTGCCGGCTTTGGGAGTATCTGTTTGAGTATGCCATTCTGAGCTGCCACTTTGATAATGCGCTGCAATGGATCAATTGTCAGGATGAATAATAACGGGAAAGGGGGTCGCCCTGCCTCAAGCCGCGTGCGTGCAAGATCTCCTGGGTTGGCTGGCCGTTAACCAGGACTTTAGATGATGCGGTTCCAAGCAGCGTTGCTATCCAATCTCTCCATTTATTGCTAAATCCCAACGCCTCCATAACCTCTAGTAAAAGCCTTTGAAATGTCTAACTTTATGAATAGAGCCGGTTTCTTTCTTTTGTGGAGGAGTTGTATGACTCTTTGCACGTATATAAAATTATCATGTATGCATCGTTTCTTGATGAAGGCATTTTGGGTGATTGACACTGTGATAGAACCGCCAAATTTATACAAGATCAAGTACGGCTGTCCCCGCTAACACGTTGACACGCGCATACTTTCACTTATATAAACCCGGTAGTCCGCCGAGTTTCTCGAAAGATCTCGGTAAATCAACATCACAACCAAGATCGCGTGATTAAGCAAATACACATCACATACACAGAGTTACAGTAGAAATAATGTTACAAAGGGGTTCATAAATAATAGTACAAGTTCGGGTTTCAAAACCAATTATTGAAAACAACATAGCTTTCAAATGATTACATTAATATAAGTTCCAAATACATTGCTAGCATAAGTGACATCCTCAGACAAAAGCATATAGATGAGAAGTAAATATAGAATCACCGAGCCCACCGGCGGTTAGCCACCATCATCAACAGGTCGAGAACTTCACTTGCAACAAGGTGGGATAAACCCTGAGTACTCGAATGTAATTAGCCAGACTTACCCGTCGTAAACCAGAAATAAAGTGACACCAAGAATTATGCAAGGCTTTCTTTAGTGGGCTAGCTGACTCGTTTGCGAAAAGCATAAGCTATCATGAAGAAACCATTTTAAGTACTTTGCATCATCTTTATTATAACCTATCCATCTAGGTAAGCACCTGTACTATAGCAACCACTTGATTAACCAATAACATCCAGTTATCAATTTAGATTTAGCATATCCCATACCATCCAGATAACCATCATTGTTCCATAATAATTACTATGATGTCGTAGCTCGAGTCAAGTGCTCACTATCCAGGAGCGATGGCGATTCGAATCGATTCCTAACCAGCTGGTGATTTATTCCTTACACAAACCTCACTCACCCGCTAAAGTGAGGTATCGGTCACCGAGTCAACTATCCAGGAAAAATCTTGAGTTTGCCAGGAACCACATGTACCCGGGGGCCGACCGACTGCCTTTCGGTCTTATCATCGCGCCCCCGTGTCCTACCACACCTGCTTCGGTACAGTGCGCTGCGGGCAATCTACTCGGCCCGAATAATCTCCCAGCTTCGCGGTCGAAAGGTGCTTTATTCGGCCAGCTAAATGTAAGGCATGCGTTCAACATGACAAGAGGGACGAGCAACGATCGGTCCTTAATCGATACAGACAGAAACTAACAGCAC